AAAAAAAAAAAAAAAAAAAAATAATTTCAATATTAATTTTTTTTTTTTGTGTTAAACTAGCTTCGTTTGGAGCTGGGGCTTTTTATTCAGTATAGTCAGGATATAAGGACTCATGATCAAGGCCTCAAAGAAGTCACTTTACATTCAAGAGTACAACTAGTTACATATATATTTTTGGTATCTAATTAAGTAGTCTGCTGATAGTTCTATACTAGCTACTATACCTGCAATCCAACTAGAGATGTTGTCTATTTAAACTCTCTGTACTGCAATCCTTACTGTATCACTAGATCATTTTTGCTACATAAGTCAGTTAAGAAGGTCTAGATGCTTATCTATATTCTTAGAACCCCATACCTTATTTCATGCAATATATTCTCAAAAGCATTGTTACTAGAGCCTTTTGTGTCCCACATACAGCTAATCTAGTTTTATGTAACATGCTATAATTACCTAACACTTGCAGTCAGGGCTAACCTTAAACCACTACATTACACTATTTCTACTTTTGTAAAGTTTATCCAAATTCTAGTACCTATCTTTCTAACATTTTCTCTATCATTTCCTACTAGTCACAACTTAGAACTGTTAGTCTCATTCCAGACTACCAATCCAGATGGCCCAGTATAGTATACCTTAGTATTCTTTTTCTCTGGTGAATCTGGTAGCCTGGTTGGTCATATGCTTCTCTACACATCTTAATGTTCAGTTTTAATTTTTGGTTTCTATGAAGATGTTTTGTGAGCTTCCATCAGTTCAACAGTATCATTAAAAGTTTTGCTACCTCTTTACTTAGAAATTTTCAAGTGAGATTTCGTCTCCTCGGTTTTTTAGTCTTCTATGCCCGGTAGTCTTATCGTGAGTTTGCACTGAAGTCTTATACAATACCAATTATTAACATTCTTCTATGTACATATAATGTTATACTTCACATAGATGTCCTGAGCTCCCAATGTCAGTAGGATCTGACTTGTTGTACCTGAATTACAGTCACATAAGGCCAACTGATCGACAGGAGACAGTTTCCATAATACAGATATAATTTCCAAATTTCATCATAGGTGGGATTTGAACCTTAGACCTGCCACTTGGAGAATGACAACCTAACTATTACACTAGAATCACCATCCTCATTTCAACATTAATATACATAGTTATAAAAGGTAATTAATTAATAAAAATAAGCTAAGATTAGCATAGTCTGTTTCATTTAAATATATTTAATTTTTACTAGACATATTATATATTACATTTTTTGAACATATAAATATTATAAATAAAATTAATAATTTTAAAAATATTTATTAATTAACTTATATAATAAATATATAAACAAGACTTTTTATATAAAAAAAAGAATACTATATAAAAAAGAATAAATAGTTTTTATTTTTTGTAGATAAAAGTATTCTTAAATACTTTTTATTAGTTTCAGGTTTTTTATTTTAAAGAACAAAAGTATCAGAGTATATAAGTTTAGCATATATAATATTGTTAACAAAAGTATCTGTTTTATTTGTATAAAAAATAATAAAAGTAAAAATTTTTTTATTTTTATCTTGTAAATTAGATTTAAGATTAGCAACTTGTAAAATAGATTTTATAATTGAAATTCTAGTAAAAGAAGTTTTTTTCTGAACTCAGAAAATAACTTTAGTAAAATTTAAAAATATAGTTTTATTGTTTAAAAATTTAAACAAAGAATTTTATAAATTAATTTTTTGTTTTTTTTAAAGAATCAAAATGTTAATATAATATATTTTTTTTTGAGATTTTTAAGTTACATATCAAGTTCTTTTTATAAAGATAGTTTTTTATCAAACAAAGTATTAAAGTTTAAGGCTTATTGGCTAAATAGCTTTATTTAATATTAAAAACTAAAATATATAAAAATCTTTATAATTTAAGATTTAACTACTTTATAATAAACAAGATTGTTTTTTTAAAATTATTTTTCAAAACATTATACTAATTATTTTTATTTATATAAGATATAATAATTTTAAAATTAATTTGTTTATTATTAATAATCTTATTATACAAACATCTTGCTAATATAAAACTTTTTTAAACTTTATTATTATTAATAATATAAGAATTTAATATTACAAAAGCTAAGTAATATAATAAGAAAGACAAATTCAGAAGGTTTTTTAAAATAAGAATATATTTATTATTATAATAAAATATAAAAATAGATTGAGAGATATAATAAAAATTTTACAATATTCTTAATAAAAATAATAATAACAAATAATATATATATATTTTATATTTTTTTATATATATAATAGCTAACTATCAAGATAATAAAGTTTTTTTTTAAATAAAATAATTAGCAAATCAGAATTTCTAAAAAAATCTTTAAAAGTAATTTTTCTAAATTTGTTAGTATTATTGTCTATTTAATATAACTTAGTTCTAATAATGTAATTATCATTTTTAGTAATATTTTTAGTAAAACAAAAAGCTACAAATAAGAATAATATAATAAACAATATTATAAAATTAAATAATAAAGATAAATCAATATATAAAAAATTAAATAGAATATTTAGTTAAAGTTTTTAAAGTGTAATTTTTTATTTTATTAAATTAAAATAATTTATCAAAATAAAATTTTATTTTATTAATTATAAAAAAATTTTAATATAAAGTATTTAAATGATAAAATTATTACAGCTAAAAGTTTAAGAGATTTTTATTAAAATTTTTACTTTTTTTACAATTAATACTTTTTTATTAAGACTTAAATTATTTTTTTTAAAAGTCAATAAATAAATATTTATTTTCTTAATATGACTTATTTATAACTTTATGTTTTTTTAATATTAATGCGATTTTAATATTTGATACTTAGTTTTTTTCTTAATACATTGCTTATTATATACTTAGCCTACTTATTTTAGTACATTGTCTATATATTATGCTTAATTTTTTTTTTTAATAACATATTATTTGATTTGTATATTATTATAACTATTTTTATCTAGAATTAATTATTTATTACTATTTTATAACTTATAATTTTTATATAATTTATAATCTTATTTATTGCATATATTAAACCATATTTATAAATACAATTTATTATCATTAAATATTTATTTAAATTAATAAATCAAAAATATTTTACTAAAACAATACATCATATTATAATTAATTGAAAAAAAACATCAAAAATCAACATATAATAGTAATTACATTTATTTATTTAGATTATTAGTAATATCAATATCAAATATTTTAATATTGAATTCAATTAACAATTCAAAAATCAGATTATAAATTTGTTTAGGTGTTAAAAAAAAATTACATTTTTAATAGATATAATGACATTTTTTGTATATATAAAAAAATAAAAAATAATAAAATAATAAAATAATAAAATAAAACAATTTAAACAGTAATTAATAAAATGATTTCGTGTAACAAAAAACATAGATTTGCTTATAATTATATAAAAAAAACAATTTTGCTTTTTATAAAATAAAAAAACTTAAATTATTAATTCATTAAAACAGTTAAAAATCTGACTAAAAAAAATTACAAATCAAAAAATAACAAAATTGATTATAATATACTTACAAAAAATTTCTCATTTTTCTGACATAACAGTAAAAAAATTATATATTTATTTAAAACAACTTGCAAAATTTTTTAAAGATTCTGTAAAGTTTGATCAGATTTGCTCTGCTTTGTTCTGCTCTACTCTCCACTGTTCTGTACAACCAAAACAAGACCATAGACTATACAATGTTTTCAACTTTGTAATGCAATGAATGACCAATTTTTTGCTATAAATGGATTCAATACAATGGATAAAAGGTAAAAATAGAAAACCCATGTCTCACCAAAATCAGATCGCTATATAAGTGCGTTAATAATCAGGCTATTTACTCAATAATACAAAATACTATTCGGTTTATAAATTCAGGGCTAAAATCTATTATAAACTTGTTGATTAATGGTTAAGCTTAACCTGACCTATTTGACCAATTTGACCAGTTAGTTAAAGGGTCAAATTGGTTAAAGAATATTTAAATAAATATTATTGTACGGCTATGTTGTTACAGCCATACCAAAATTTTGATCGTATTTAACTCCTCAAGCATAACCACCCAAATCAGTTACGTACTAAGTTTAAATACTTATAACTTAATATAATAAAATTTTCATAATAAGATTACCTAAAAATTCGTATAATACTGAGTATAAAATTGTATTTTTACGGAACTGATCTGAACGGGTAAAATCGCCACCAAAAAGTTTCGAAAATCATGTGATATTGTCAATTCATCATAATCCGTGTTGGCAGCAATAGATGAATAGAACAGTAGAATAGAGCAACAGAATTTAGAATAGAATAAAATTATTATCAATAGAACAAAACATTATCAACAAGATTGTAATTGAATATTAAATAAATAAAATAATAGAACAATAAGATAGAGAAATAGAAATTAGAATAGAATATAAGTTTTATTAATAGAACAAGAGATTGACAACACTGATCATAATAATATTTATTAAAATACAGTACTGTTTATAAGTTTATATAAATCGTTTAAGTCCAATCAGATTTTTGATTTAGATATGAAAAACCACGTGCAGATGAATTCTTCCGCTAACCATATTTATTATTCAGAATATCTGTTTTCTGACACAAAGCAAGAGTAAAAATATGATATATTGTTATTAGGAAATGATTCCGCAAATTACATGTGTGAAAAATAGCAAAAATACATAGCAGTAACCAGAGCATACATGAGTAAAAAACAAATCATTTCAAACCCTGCCACCGAAATTAAAGAAAAAACAGCGTATAAACATTTTTCCACTGAACAGTTATACACCCATATCACAGATTACTAACGAAAAAGGTAAAGGTTGAAAATTTTAGCGTAATTGATATATATATTGAACTCGCTTTATCCTAGGTTTATTTTGGTGCTTGCTTTCCTGGATTTTTCTGCTCTATCCGGGTGTTTTGGTATTGCCTTCAAAATGCTTTGATTATAGAGAGTTGGCAATCTTTCCAGGAAATTCTTGATAACTAGTCCATCACTACACACAATTTGCCGCAAATATACAATTAGATTAAGAACATTCTTAACATCATTATGTCGATATCCTGTTTGAATGTTATAAGATACAATGTCCTGATCATATACATAAAGTATCGCTGTCTTAGCATCATTAAATATCGGTCGAATCGCACCTAAGTTAATAGATGTGTCGTTAATGAGTCCGACATGTATCCTTATTTGAGTTATTTCAGCTGGTGAAAGACCATGTGTTCTTGATAAAATCTTGTTTAATTCAAATACAGCTTCGCAAACAACAACAGCGAAATCTTTGTGAACCTCAAAACCCTGCCGTTCAAACTTCACAATAAAAAAAGGGAATTGCCATTGTTTAGAGTCCAATATTACAGCGGCAAAATCCGATCTTGAAGAACCTTCTCTGGCACTTCCGGGAAAAAGGTGATTAAGCTTCCAGATCGGTTCAAATCGAACTTGATTTAAAGTAAATGAATCCGATAAGATTTTTGACCACATTTGAATCTTTACATGAGCTTCTGATGGGTGACTGCCAGGACCTCGACATTTAGCTGGGTTGTACAAGAGTACTGACATGATCGCTGACAGTGCAGTATAAATATCTATATTGTAAAAGTGATCATCATTATTTCGTCTTAATCCAAGCCACTCTAACCACTTTCGCATTCGGATTTGATATCGAGTAGCTACGATTTCAATTTGTTTACTTTCAAGCAATGCGTCCAGAATACTGTTAGTTTCTAGATCTGAATACTCCCTAAGTATTACTTTGAGGTCATTAATATGAAGAGCAGGTCTTAGAATAGTTGGTGGGGTCATAGGTATCTCAAAAAGCCTGCTATCTACAACAGACCACTTTAAAAGTATAGACAATGTCTACTTAATTAAGAAATTTCATCGATGTGACTTTCTTGCATTTCTTCAAGACTTTGACAGTATCCGAGTAATGCAGGAAACTCACAAATATTGACACACAATTCCTCTACTTCGTATATGTTGTCATCATCTCCTTTACAATTTAATCGTCTTTTCTATTTTACCGGTAAAAAAAAAAAAAGTTAGCATGAATACTAGAAATAAAATGTTTCTGTGCTTTAGACTAAGTCAAGACTTTCTCTGTCCGGACGCTCATACACGCAGCACGGAGGCGTAGCAGCTCAATTACTAAATATGCACGTCGCGGAGGCTCACTGTCCGGACGCTCTTCTTCCCCCATACACGCAGCACAGAGGCGTAGCATATTTAGAAATTAAAAAAAGTACTGACCTCTAGAGCCTTGAGGAGAGCAGCGACTTTCTTTGCTTTTCTTGTATTGGGCTCAAATCTGCCCCCTAAGATGCTGAATTCTTTTGACAAACAGAAGTGCGAGTCATGCAAACTTGAATTGCGTGTTTGACTTTTAAAAAACTTTTCCCATGCAGTGAGAGATCCCCAAGAAGAGTATGGACGATTCCAATATTCTGGAAAAAAAAAAACTATAAAAAGTAATGTTGCGTCTTTAATAAACAAGATTAATAAAGATTTTACCAGGGTATTTTAAGCCTAAAGCCATTTTACTAAAATGTTAATGCAAAACAACTGTCACTATAAGCAAACAAGACTACTAATCAGAATTCAGAAATTCACGATTACCGATTATAAAACAAATCATATCAACAATATTTTTTATGACATCTTTTTGGCTCACCCACAAGATTTTTCCGGCACGTGACCATAGCCAATTAGATCGAAGGATCAGGTGCAACGTGAAAATCGCGTCTTTTTTTAGTGTAAGCTATTGTTTTGATTTTATGTTACCTGATCCTTCGATCTAATTGGCAAAAAATCACGTTTACTCTGAAGATTAGATTAGGGCCACCGAATTTCTGCTGCGACAGACCCCAAATTCTGCTCAGCCTAGAGGGCGATTTATGCGAAATTATGTGAAAATTTTGTGTCAAATATGCTATAAATTATGCGAAATATGCGAATTAAAAAAATTATGCTTATATGTAATATTTTATTTAATATCAAATAATAATAATAAATTGAACATATTTATTCTTAATAATAATAATTTGACTTTAATTTTTCTTATTACTATTAAAATATATAATATTTAGTGCTTTAATTGATGCTTCTAAAAGTGATGTTGTTTTACATCTATATCTAATATTGAAAGTCAAATATAGTTTAAAATCAATTTTGATAAATTAAGCAAGTTCTAAATTTTTTTCTCACCAATAAAGATCTAAATTAAATTCTTTATCATCTGAAAAATCTTTATTCAATTTACAATAAATTCTTTATTCTTAAATGATTTAATTAGCAAGAAATTTAAATTCTTGAATTGCTAAATATAAATAGATATTTTAATAATTTTATTATACATAAATGAATCATAAATCAAAGCATTAAATTGCTTTAAACAATGGTAGTGCAGAATAATAATCAATATGTTTTTTTAACTTGTTAAATGCTAATTGGTATTCTTTATAAAACATTAAAATGTATATTTTAGAATTAACCTAATTATCTTCAAATTTAAACTTCATTTTTTTTACTAATAAGAAGGTTAATTATATTTAACTATAATGCAGCTTAAAGATAAAACAACTGATGAATTACAAATAGCACAACAGGTTTGTTTTGAATTTCAAAAAATTTAAGTTTTTTAATAAGATTAATATATGTATATATAATTAATTATTGTATATAAAAATTTAAACAAATAAACTTATCATATTGCATTAAATAATATAAACATAGTAATAATTTTAAAAATAAAGGTATTTAAATTATTTTTAAAAATTATTACTAATTCTTGAATTGCTTAATTTTTATTATTAATTTATTCTTTTTCTAAGTAAAATCAACATAATTGTATAATATTTTAGTTGGTTCAAAAAACAAATCTAAATCATAAATTCTATTCTATCTTAATAGATAATAAAGGTAAAATAACTTGATTAGTATTATTTAAAAAAATTTAATAAAACTAATCTAATATCTTTTAGATACTGAGCACTGAACAAAATATATTTTAATATTTTTTATAATAAAAAAAATTTAAATTTTTTGTAATAAACTTATATTTTATTAACCAAATTTAAAATATAAGCTAGGCAATTATTATGTATTATTTAAAGAATTAAAGGTAATAAAATTTTAAAAGCTTTTAGCATATATTATGCATTATCTAAAATAAAAAAAATAAAAATTTTCAAAAAAAAATTATAAAATTAATTAACTTTTATAACTAACTGCATAATAGATGTACTATTAGCAATTGTAATAAATTCAGTTTTAATTAAAACAGTATATTTGTTAAAACTAAACAAAATATTACTAAGTTTTTATTACATATATTAGTTGTTTTATCTATTATAATAAAATTCTTTTTTCATATAAAAAATTTTGTAATTTTAATATTTTATTATTATAGATATTTATTGCAAAGTTAATCAGAACTTATAATCATACTATCTAAAAAAAAATAAACAAATAATAAATAAAATTAAAGTTTTTTTTTTTTTTTAAATATTAAGATAAGTACTTGTGACTCAGAATTTTATTGATAGTACATTCAGCTAATGGTTGCATTACAACCACAGGGGGCAATTATGAA